GTAAGTAACTACGATCCAATTTTTGCATCATTCTACTACCTAAAGACTTACGTACGTTTTATTTTTTCTTTTTTTTTTTTTTACGTTTTAACAGTTAACCGATTTCTCTCTCTCCCTTCCTTCCCGACCCCCTCTCTCACTCTCTTTCTCTCGTTTTTAATTTTTATCATTAAATATTTATAAAATAGCGATGTGCAAAACTATAAGATAAAACAAATTTTTTTTTTTTTTTTTCTTATTTTTCTTCTTTTTTCTTTTCTCTAACATTACAAATTTATTTCATTGCATCCATACGTATTTGTTTGTAACAAATGTAATCGCTTAATATTCATTACAATAAAAAATATAGAATAAATATATAACTGTGTGTAATATAAGTGTAATTGAAAAAAGTTGTTCTTTTAAATAAATATATAATTATAATGTTACATTTTCAAATAATAATTATTATTATTGATATTGATTTGAATAATTATATTATAATTGTAATGATTACGATAATAATATTTTTATTTTGTATTATTTTTTAATAATAATAAATTTTAATAAATAATTTTAAATTTAAATAATTTAAATAAATTTTTATTAAAAATAAATTTTTTTTATGCTTATATATATTTTATCACAATTCATATAACGTTACAGCGGATTAATGAAAAATTAAATTTTAACTTTTCATAGAGAAAAAGAAAAGAAAGGGAAAAGAAAAGAAGAAGAAAAGAAGATCGATTCTTTCAAAAAAAAAATTTTCTTCCTCGTCATAAGAAAATATTGTGATTAATAATGTGTATGCGCCATTGGGGTTATAAACCCTTCGACATTTCGCATCGTCGACCTTCGGCTTGTAACAACTCAAAAAAAAAAGAAAAAAGAAAAAAAAAAAAAAGAGGCGACCGTAGAAGAACACACTGACGAGTTAATTGCCCGACTTAAACGAGTAATTATATCGGCCATTATCGATAGACTACTTTTACAATCCGTTTTCATTTCATACAATGACGATAGAAAGAGAAATATGAGTTCATGGTGTTTTTGCTTATACGATATTAGTGAACGTCCCAGTGTTCGTCTATCCGTCTCTCTCTCTCTCTCCATATTATTATTATTATTATTATTATTATTATTACCTAGGATGTTATATAAAAAACAAAAACAAAAAAAAAACGGAAACAAGAAAAAACGGCGACTCTTCCATCGCCGAAGAGAAATAAGAGAAAAGGTATTATAAGCTATAAGGTAATTAAGCTTCTGGAATTAGCTGAGAGAGAGAGAGAGAGAGAGAGAGAGAGAGAGAGAGAGAGAAAAGGATGAAGGATAAAGAAAAAAAATAAATGTATATATATATATATAAAATTTTCCCTCCAGGCTGTTGTCATCGACATAGAAAAAAGAACTCTGTTCACAATGCGGTTCAATTTTTGTATCCTCTTTTCTATCTCTCTCTCTCTCTCTCTCTCCTTTTTTCTATATGTCTCTTTCTCTCTCTCTCTCTCTCTCATTCTCTTTCTTTCTTCCACACTTCTATTTCTTTAGCTTTATCACACTTTACTCCTCGCGGCGTTTCTTTTTCACCCGAAGATTCTTCCAGAGGCATGAATGAACCAAGACATGGGTATCATTAATTAAACTTTCGAGCTACCGACCAGTACAGAGGTTCTCAATCTCATTCTTTATCTATCCCTCCCACTCCCACTCTCTCTCTCTCTCTCTCTCTCTCTCTCTCTCTCTCTCTCTCTCTCTCTCTCTCTCTCATTTAGTTAACAATATTATTGTCAGCAAGTTTGAGATTTCGATTTTCTTTTCTTTTTAGAAAATATAATCCATATATATATATATGTATGTATGTATGTATGTATGTATGTATGTATGTATGTATGTATATATGTATGTATGTGTGCATATATAAATGGTATATTAAAAGAAAATTATAGATTATTAATAATAATTTGGAATTATGTTAAAGTTGTTTGATATAATTGGATTGATAATGAGATCGAGGTTAAGTTGAGTACCATCGAAAAGGGGCACCTGTAAGTTTTAACCTGGCAGATGTAACTGGTTACCTGTGTTTCTTTAAAGATTAGAAAGATTAGAAACACGCGTCTCTTTAGTTATACGTTTGACGATATAACGCCGAAAGTTTGCGAAAATATTCTAAAAGGTGAAAGGAAATTCTCATCTGTTTTTCTGTATCATAATGTTCAACGATTCGAAATATTAGAATGATGTTGTATATATCATCGCTACGTTGCGTCGGAAATTTGTGTCAAAAAAAAAGAAAAAAAAAAGAAAAAGAAAAGAGAGAAAAAATTTTTGCAAAATGAAAGGACTTCGTATTCTTACGTATTCGTACTTTTACTCTTTCTAATTCATATATCTCTTTTTACCGATTAGAAATCTTAGAAAGACTTACGTATCTTTACGTATCTGCAAATCTACGTAACGAAAATTCATGGAATAAATCGAGGAAGAAAAAATTTTTTATCATTCTATGTACATACATATCTATTTCTTACTTGTATATATCTTTATTGATTAGAACTATTAATGGTATTAAAAATATTAGAAATAATGCAATATTAAAAGAAAATTTTGATTTGAGGAATAACTTTGTCCTTTTGCATTTACGTTTACAAATAATACATACGTACTTATATTTGCTTTATAATTCTTCGATTAAAAGAATTCTTGTATCTCTACTAAGAAAGAAAGAAAGAAGAAAAAAGAAGAAAAAAAATAAAAAGAAAAGAACATTTACAAAAATGAAAAATATCACTCGGTGTGCTCAAGTATTTCTTCTTTTGATATTTCATTCGATTAAAAATATTAAAAATATTATCTCACAAGATAAATCATTTTCTAACGTTTAGAAAAAAAAAAAAAAAGAACTATCTTTCGACGCCTATACTATATGTTAAATTAACTAGATTGATTGATGAATTAATTAATTATGTTTAATATGATTAGTTAGTTGATTAATTAATTAATTAATTAATCAATCAATCGAAGAGATTATTGAAGAGTGAATATATATTATAATCGAACGCATACATACATGAGAAATGATGTCAAGGACCTGTGAAAAAGTTTACGAATAAAAGAAACAGCTTCGTTCTAATAAATGTCGAGCATTGAGACTATAAAAAAAAAAAAAACAAAATTTTACATTTTCTCATCTATATAAAAATCATATATCGACTTCGCACCAAGAAGGTATCATATCCCAAGGGATATCGAAAGGATCACCGAAGGATACGGCGTAAAAGAAAGAATGATAAAAAAGAAACTTCGAAGGAAAAGAAAAAAAAAAATCGAGAGAAAAGAAAAATAAATCGAAAGAGAAAAAAGATAATGAGGAATAAAGAGAAAGAGAGAGAGAGAGAGAGAGAGAGAGAGAGAGAGAGAGAAAGAAAGAGAAAGAAAGAAAGAAAAAGACAGAGATAGAGAGAGAGAGAGAGAGAGAGAGAGAGAGAGAGAAAGAGGGAAAGAAAGAAAAGAAGAAGCAGAAGAAGAAGAAGAAGAAAAGAAAAATGACAAAGACAAGAAGGAGGAAGAAGAAGAAGAAGAAGAAGAAGAGGAAGAAGAAGGAGAAGGAGAAGAAGGAAAGACTCAAGAGTCGGCTCGATCAAGAGTCGATGACTGGACAAGTTTGCGTGGGTATGGATGAGTAGTATGTATCTCGGCAGGTTCGAGAAATGGCGGCTGAGGCGACAGCGGCCTCCTCTCTCTCTCTCTCTCTCTCTCTCTCTTTCTCTCCCTCTTTCTTTCTTTCTCTCTCTTTCTCTTTACCATTCCTCCTCCTTTCGTGAAGAAGCCGTGGGGCAAATTAGGTAAAAACAAAACCACTATCCTACTCTCTCTCTCTCTCTCTCTCTCTCTCTCTCTCTCTTCTTCCATCTTTCTCCGTTTCCATTTTCAGAGTCACGTCGACTCTTACAGGAGCACGCTCGGCAACGAAGAAGAAGAAGAAGAAGAAGAAGAAGAAAAAGGCAAGACAAGAACAAGAGTTCTGAAGGAAGAAAAGAGAGATGAGGAAGAGGAGGAATTGAGAAAGAGAGAAAGAGAGAGAAAGGGAGAGGTGTTACAGGAGCTTATTGTGCCACGGTAATGGGTCTCAAGTAATTAACCGAGCTCTTCCCTAAGCCTGTTACTGGTTGCTGGTTGCTGTTACTGTTACCGATGGTTGTTGTTGCCGATGCCTACTACTCTCTTACATCGGCCCGCCATCGCTTCTTTTTTCCGGACCCTTCTCGATCAGAATATCTTCTTTCTTCGTCTTCTCTTTTCTCATCCTTTGATCTAAGCTAGACACACGATATATTCGAGAATGGTAGAGGTTGATACTCGTGCCGAGTCATCAAAGGGCGTGAACATCTCAGTTTCATATACATACATACATACATACATACATACATACATACATATATATATACATATATGCACGTAATTTCGACTTTGGAAACCTTCAACATTGTTTGATTCTTTAGTTCCTAATAAAAATGATACGTTTGATTTTAAATTATTGGACTTGTCAAAGATTGTTCTAATGAATTAATTACATCTTGATTAATATGCATTCTTTTTTCCTTTTTCTTTTTTTCTCTTTTTTGTTTTTTTTTTTTTTTTTTTTTATGAAAATTATCATACATCCTTCAAAGAAAATGCAATACATAAGGAAACTTATTTGTAAATTATACGATTATAAAATAGTAGCTGCTTATCAATATTAAGGAAAGATCTTTATTAGATTTAAAAAAAATTAATAACAATTTTAATTATTTAATACGTATGGATAGGTATATGTGATATATTTTAATGTAAAATTATGAACGACGTACTTCCTTTTTTGTTTTCCTTTTTTATTAAAAATTATATAAGAAATAAAGAAACTCCTATCGTAAATTATAAGATTTCTATTAAAAATTTCAATTGGATTTTTCATCGAAAATTAAGAAATAATTTCAATCAATATACTTTTCATATCATTTTTATATTTCATG